GGAAGTTTCCTATTGGAAATGTAAAATAAAATATTTCATATTTTCATTTATTAGTACATTTATATTTATTTTTTTGTATTTTGTCTAACAGACGCTCTTCTAATCCAATTTTGGATGGAGTCTTCAGTCTCTTTGGCGGTGCTCGAAAGGCCTGCTTTTGCCGCTGCACCTAAGAAATGAACATATTATTAATAGATACACATCTAAATGTAATACTATCTTTAAAACAGTTAATTTTTAAAAATATTAAAGAAAATGTTTGATTTTTGTGGATTTCGAATTATTTGATTTTATATATAAATTATTATAAAATGTATACCTATCAACCATATACCAAGAAACCTTTATTGATAACTTCAGTTGCATCGTGCACACAGTCGGACAAAAATGCATTGGGGTGTTGTCGCTTCTGATTGCCATGGTATATCCCTATCATTTCTACAATGTTTTTATTGCCCGAAATACTGGCTAATATTGGATATACCTGACGAGGAACTTTTAGCAAGTGGCAATCCGTCAATATTTATAAGAAGACCTACTGATTGATTCAAGGTGTTAATTGATTTTTGGTCTTAAAGACGTCTTGTGCCAGGCATTTACAAGACGTCTTGTAGCAGACGTCTTTAAGACGTCTTAAAAACGTCTTGTGCCAGGCATTTACAAGACGTCTTGTAGCAGACATCTTTAAGATGTCTTAAAGACGTCTTCGAGCGACATACGACGTTCAGACATAATAAAGGCATAACGAAGACGTCTTGTGCTGTCTGCGTTGATTCTTCTATACATATTTAAAACCGTTTTGCTTTGTTATAAAATTAAGTCATTAACTTCAAAAATAAATGGTTATAAAAATATTAAAAGTAGAATTATGATTTCAATTATCGTTTCGCATATTTAAAATATTTCCTAATTTATTTTCTGATTAATTGAATACTTAACTTGTGGTTTGTTAATTTATTGAGATAAATTGAATTTAATTTACGAGCAATATTAGTTGAATCCATACTTATTGATGTGTTTGTTTTTTCAATTGTTTTCCATATTTATTGAAATGGTTTTTTGGTTTCAATTTAATTTTCTCTGCAAAGTTTAATTCTGTGTTCGTTCAAACTTAAAATAGAGTGTTAATTTGTAGCGCGCTTTGCTTATATCGTATCCGAAATTATACAATAAAAATCGTCCAACTCAGTGTCAAAATTTGTAGATGTATTTCTATTCAACAGCTTTTCGTAGATAAATTAATGGATTTTACTATCCAAGGCCGAACGAAACAAACTAGTTATCATTTATGATTTTTTTTCTGAATCTAACTGAATGACTTTACTTTATGAATCGAATTATCGTCCTACGGTTTTTCGTTTATGAAACAGCGAAGGCCGACAATGTTGTAAACACTTGCTGGTTAATGAAACATCGAGTTTCTGCAATAATCAATGGCAATTTTTTTCTTTTTGTTCTCTTTCGACATTCATTATGGATTCAAAGTGTGAAACCCACGATATGTTGAATTACATAGGTAAAGTGCCAGTAACAACGAATGAAATGAGTTTTTGTTAAATTTTTACCGGAAATAATTAATTCGTTTTCAGCCTCTTTGCGGACGGTTTTGGATCAATGGGGATCTAAATGTTGTCCATTTGGATGGTTTAATCTTATTAATCCCTTGTTGTTCTTCGTTGAAATTTCCTCATTTGAAAAACAAAGCTTTCCGATATTGATTGAAACACAAACATTTAACATGACTAATGAAGGTTTACAAGGACACTTTCAATTTTCTCCCTTAACTGTCTACTGTTTCCCTTTAAAGACCCGCAACAGAAATGTTCATCTTTGCTTCAAGTCTGACAAACGTGAATACCAAAAGCGCCGAAAGCCGATTAACTTTATAATTTCTCATCAACGTCGCATCGCAACTTCAGCAAATCCTGAAGATGGGAAAGAACAATTAAATTCGCTTGTCTTTCTTCTATGGTGGACGTCGCGGCTGCTGGTCCATGGGATATAAAGTGATAGCTCAAGGGGGGCGCTCCTAATGACGGACCCGTAATTATTATAATTAATGCTGTTTTGTTAAGTATCGCCGTGTCGAAAATACGGGTATTATTATCGGAATAGGGAACTATTGCCGAGTACCACGAAATTTGCTAAATTGTGTTGATCATCGATTTTGTTCCCAGGAATTTTATTTCATCCACTTATACTACATATTTACATATTCTGCTTTAAACAACTTATATTGAAGCAGTCTTGTGGTACGACTTTAACTGTTGATTGACAACATATAATTAGTTTTGAGAATAACAGCCTAAGTAAATAAGAATTTTTTTGATGTACGCATTTTCACGTGGAAAGTCTTAAAATTGGGTCTGTCAGGTGTTCTTAACAAGGCTTCTATGGACACAGTTGGTTATGACACAATACTATCCAGTTATTAAAGACCATCATGTTTTCTAGTTGCAACTAGTGCGATTTAAGACAAGCTAAGGTGAAGTTAAGAGTTTCTAAACAACACCAAAGTGATTCAAATGTTTAAAAATTAAACTGTTTCGTGTTATCAAACAAGCAGACAATCAAGGTATAAACTCTCTATATCTGTGGTTTCATTGCGTTGGCGGACCATGGCGCCAACCTCTTTGAACGCAACTTTCATCAAGTCGGACACGCGCGATTCACGGTCAACGACGTTTCTTTCAGATTAGCCTTCGTCGTTCTGTCTGTTTCACTTATTCCCAAATAACGGAATTCATATGCATTTATTATTAAAAAATTAAAAATTCATAAAGTTAATATTCCTTTACGACCAATAGTTAGTAGTATAAATTCACCTACACATCCCTTAGCCAAATATATTTTAAACATTTTAAATCCCCTAATAAATAACACAACTTCCTGTATTAAAAATACTCAACATTTTTTACAAAAATTATCCGACATAGACATAAATCCAAACCATATTCTAGTAAGTTTTAATGTTGTTAGTCTATTCACTAACGTTCCTGTTGATGAAACTTTAAATATCATCAAACAAAAATTACAAAATGACAGCAATCTTAAAGAACGCACACAACTAAGCATTAACACCATTATTGAACTTTTAACAATATGTGTAAAGTCAACTTACTTTCAATACAATGACAATTTT